TAGTCAGAGAACTGAAAGACAAGTTTCAACTCGATATCTGAAAGAGCTGGATAATGGTGGAAAAGCTCCAGAGAAGAGAACATGGTGTTGATACAAAGTTCACCAAGCACAGGAGAGAAAACATGTTGACATTTGCATCTGAAAACAGGAATTCATCGTTATATTCAATACAGAGCTTTGTCTGTCTGAATCAGAAATATGTATATGAATATTAATGTGCAACACGGAACTAAAAACATAAAAACTGTCTTCTGGTTTTTATTTCATTGTTGTTACTTGAACTTTAGTTAATTATTCAGGAGGAAACTTCAGGTCGCACAGCCACACAGGTCGTTTTAAATATTTCATCAGAGACCTAAAAGTCAAAAGTACACATCAGTGAACTGTCAGTCAGGATCGAAGGAGGAAGAATCTCTGAAAAATCATGAACCGTATCTGATTTACAAAATCAATGAGGACGGTTAAACAACAGAAACACCTCTCTATAGCGATGTAATGCAAGTTTCAAACAGCAACACAAACTGAACATTCCTCCTCAAATGATCACACAGTTGCATCAAAACCTGTTTGCACACAGTTTCAACACAAACTGACATTTATAACCTTGCATCGGAAGGAGGATTTACTGCAGGACTGTTGGAATTTAAGACTGATAGTTATGTTTTTAGCTAGGTGTTCCTAATAAACTTGACACACTGAGTGCTTAAATGAATGATGCTGCTTTTAACACCACTGCTTCTAATACAAAATACAGTAAATCTTTCCAGGCTCCTGTAGATGTGACAGCTCTCATCATTTATAAAACATCTGTCTCTCAGACACAGAAGTAGAACCACACGAACATTTTTTTTACTGCTCGACTGAGAGAAACGAATAAATAAGTGTGAGAAAGAAAGAAGAAGAAAAACAGACAAGTTGAACTTGACTTTCTTCTGGTTCTTATGTAAATTTAATCACATTTGGTCGTAATTAATTATATTAAAACAAATTAAATACTAACAAATCAAAATCAGGACAAGCTGCTACACTAGTAATGTAATTAGGTATATGTAGTTGCCTGGGGGGGGGGGGGGTTACATCGGAAACCACTGTGATGAAGTGCAAATTAATGTAAAAATGAAATCATGATTTGATATGAAACACATAAAACATTCACATATTGTGTGTCAAGAGAGGAAAAGAAAATATGAAAACAAACTTGGTCAGATATTGATCTCCATATTTGTTTGTTACAATAATCAATAAAACTATCAGCTACAATGAGCCAAGTTCACAGGACACACTCTCCACCTGCCTGAGGCAGCTGTGCCGGACACCTTGAGCACGCAGCTGCTGTGACTGAGTTCATGAAAACTAGAGAAACAAAACTAATTCATTTATAATGAGAATTTTAAAACACACAAGACACAGAGAGAAAAAACATGTTGACATTGATCTGAATAAACAGGAAGTTCATGTTAATATTCATACAGAGCTTTGTCTGGATCAGAATATGTATATGAATATTAATGTGCAACACGGAACTAAACAACATAAAAACTGTCTCTGGTTTTTATCTCGTTGTTGTTACTGAAACTTTAGTTTATTCAGCAAAAAGCTTCAGGTCGCGGCCACACAGGTGTTTTGACTCTCAGTGGACAGGATGTAGACGACGGCCTGAACCCGCGAACTGATCAGCTGTTATACGACTGATATTAACCTGAAGGATGTTGTCGTTAAATGACGTCACCTGATGTTTTATATTGATCAGCGCTAATTATTAACAATAATATTACGTCACACTGTGTCGCTGATCTTTATTTTCACACGGAGCTGAACACTGACGTGACAGGTGCAGTGGTGAGCGTCATCCAGCCGTTTAAACTGCGAGAGCAGCCTCATTGTCCCAGTTCTCTGGCTCCAGACCGCTGCATGTTTACAGCTTCTTCATTTCATAAAAAACACAGTTACTGATAATAAACACAGTTCAGGCTGATTATCAGTCTGAGGCTTTAGTTTTCTCACCGTGTTCATCAGCAAACGTTGTTCCAGACCAAGTCAGGACACAGAGACACGCGAGAGGACAAGACTCACAAATAAGTGTGTACCACGTCATCGTCATTAAACACAACAATTTAAAAATTCATCATCGGAATTCACAAGTCTACACTGTAGCAACATCTTTTGTTACATTTTACATGAATCTGCTGCTGTAAAACTGAGATTCCTCATCAGTGTTAATGAAGCTCCGTCTCTCTGATCTAATTACAGCCAAGAAGAAGAACTTCACAGAGTCTCAGTATATTCTGGTGACGTGTGTGTTACGTTAATTCTTCAATCTCAAAACCTTTGTTCTTTTCACCTGTGGAACAGAATCGTCACTGATTCTAATGATTTCAGTCTGAATCGGCCTCATGTGGTGTTTTCATGTCTGTCCTCAGGACCAGGTCACACCAGCTGTTTCTACATCTGTTCCTGGGGCTGTGTGTGAACTTTAATACATTCCTGTTGAAAATGATCAACAAATTAACAATTAAAATCATCTGAAGATTAAAATACAAATATGAAGAAGCTCACCATTGATATGAACATAGATCTCAGAATAAATCTGATGTCTGATTTCCTCCTGTGTGGATACACAGCGATAGGTGTCGGTCTTGGTCACAGTAGTTTGGAGGATAATGTCGTAGCTGCCTCCTCTTTCAGAGACCTGTGGTTCTTTAGCAGGAAGAGTCTTTCCATCTCTGTCCTGCCACTGGACATCAGGTTTGAAGGTATCACCATGAACCTCACACTGCAGCAGTGACCATTCTGTTGTTTCATCAAGAGATGTGACATATGGTTTTGAAGCTGCACCTGCGAACATAGTATAAGCAATAGTTTTATTAAGGAAAATAACAGCATTAGAAATATAATATTTGGATGTATTTAGTTCAACTCTTCTCTACTTCTCTAAGCCTGTATTGCACATCCCAGCATTGTTTTACAAGGAATCATATGTCAAACATTTTTACCTCTACTTCAAAAATCTGATAACTGTCCACAACTGCAAACACTATTTCAGATTCATATCAGGACATAGGCACAGCAATAATTATCTTGAAATTAATTATGTGACAATATTTCAATATTTCTATTATGCTAACATAATTTGTTTTAAAAAGTGTTATAAATAATGGAAGACAGGGTCAAAAGAATATACGTACACTCATTGTGTTATTGGGCCTTCACTGTCAGTACACTCAGTGTTCACTTTATTAGGGACACCTGTACAATCTAATACCATCCAACACAACTGTTGTGTCATGAAGTCGACTTCTATGATGCTGATAATGTTCAGTTTTCTGACACAGTCATAGAGGTGTTCATTCACTTCTATGTTTTAGCATTGAGCTCAGAGTCAGTGATGGTGTTGTACTGGACTGTGTTATATTCAGAGGTGTTCCTAATATTCTGACCCCCTCATGTTTGTAAACAGGGAGGACAGAACAATAGAAACACCTCTCAGTATAATGTAGTCCAGTACAACACCACCTTTAACTATGAGCTCAGTGACAAACACAGAATTCAATCCACACATTTCTGACAAAGTCCACACAAACTGAACATTAGAAACTTTGTAAAGGTGAATTTATGGCAGAGCTGTTGGACTGAACTGCAGGAGATTGTACAGGTGTACCTAATAAAGTGTCACTGAGTGTCTCATGCTGTGTTTGTGTATGAGGTGAATTGTGAAGCTCTAGATAAAGGCATTATGTAAATGCAGCATTTATCAATTAGTTTTTCTTAGATTCAGCTAATAAACTGTTGACAAAGGGTAAAATTGAATCTTGACAAAATTTAATGAACCCTCTAGATCAGTAAAATCTGAAAAGATCAAGGTGATGAAAAGGCTAAATGTCTCCAACCCATTAAGTGATGTAGAATTACAATTGAAATAGAAGTGCCGTCGTACGCAGTGACGTCATCAGAATCAGGACTCACCTGGGATGTTCTCCTTACTTCTGTCTTTTAACCTTTTATGGCGCGGAGGTTGCATGCGACCCGAGATTTACATGTAAAACTGCCTAAATAAATATAATATATATTTTAACGTTGATGGTAAACGTCCATAGACACGTTACACCTTATTTGAAAGCTCAGATGTTCGTTTGTTTCTTAGGTATTCAAGAGGTTTTAGAAATTGTTTACGACATTAAAACACGTCTCATTTTACGGCAGTAAACCGCTGGAACGTAGCTTGCTAACCTGTGTCGCCACCATTTAAGGGCTTTTATAGGTCGAAAAAATAACATTTAAAGACAAACTGGGCTCGTTTTGAAGAAGAAAAATTCGCCGCTAAAATCCTGCTCGTTTAAATTAAAGCGGAAGTAAATAAATAAATAGAAGTGGATTATTTCCTTCGTTTAGTTTTAATGCTGCTCCTCAAACTTTTAAATCAAAACCATTTCTCACAATTATAAAGCGTCGAAAAAGTATTTCACCAATGATTTTCAGCATCTCTGAAATCAGGAAACACTCAGGAACGAAACAAACCAATCAGCATCTTTCTACGACCTAAAGTGACGCATCTAACGGACTATTAACTCCATCAGCCAATCAGAGGAGCACATCTTTACGTTTGCGCCATGTGACTTTAATTGACAGCTACTCTCATCCATAGGAAGTAGAGCAACCGTGAAAAACACTCTGAGTTTTGTAGCCGGTAAAATTACCTGCCTTGACCATATATGGAAGTTAATGTAGTTGACTCTTCTGTGGGGAGGGACACCGACACAACAGAGAAACTTTATTATCAGTCAAAAGAGACACGATTCAAGTGAAACTAAATATGGTAAATCTTTATCTTTAAATATTAACAAAGCTCTTTTAGTCAACTTTAACATTTAGGGACATTTTTCAGAGTCATAAAAAGACATTTAATCTTTCCAATTAATTTGGTGACTTTGGAGAAGGTTTTATAAAAGCTCTGTAAGTCATCTGAATGGAGATGCTTCTGCACTCACTTTCTGAATTCTCACAGCCACTTCTGTCTATCAACATGAAATTTGGTACACATGTTGTGGGAAAAGTTGAATGAAAGAGATCCTGTGAATTTCTAGCTTCTTATTTATGTGATTATTGTATTGAAATATGAACGTAAATGGAAAGAAGAAGAGAGCTTCTATTTTTTCCTGTTTAATCCTTCATCAGTTCAAGTTGTCTCAGACTGTAAGTAAGATCAACACAGCTGATGAAACCTCTGACAGTTTGGCTTTAACAGTGTGCAGTTGGAAATGCCATCAAGTTCTCTGGTCCTTGGTAATATTACACACAGTTTAAAATGGGAGGTTTGTTAAGAGACAGAAATGACACATAACTTAAAATGAAACCCTAAAGGTTTAAGGGACCATGCTAAAAAGGCAAAAACAAAACAATTTGTTATGATTTGTGTGAATATCATCAACTGAGCAGACAGGTACAGAAACAGGAATTTATTACACATCATCTAAAACTGATTTGACCAAACGTCTAGTTTAAGCTGCTCAAAACATTCACGAGACCTCAACTGGATTTGTGTTTTCTCCAGACGGGTTAGGCCGAAGTTTGTTTTGAAATAAACTAGTTTGTTCAACGTGTTCGTCCCTGAAGGGAATAAAACCTGAGCGTGATATGTTCAAATACTGAGAACTGATAACTTTCACAACCTGGCCGATCTCTGTGTGACAGAGGGTGAACTTACCGAGATTGTTGGTTTTGGGAATTACAAAATGTGTTGGACACGACGCCGGCCCAGTTTAACTTAGAAATGTGTAGTGGAGGCGTTTAAGATGCTCAGCGAACATTGAAAGCTGTTACAGTTCGAGAGTCAGAAGAGATGAAATCTGAGCGTGACACTGAAGTGTGATTGAGCAAACGACATAATCTGTACAACGTGTCCACAGATACTGACGTTTGATACAAAGGGAAATCATGTCCAGATGTGAACTGCAGCGCTGTGGGGGACAAGGTCCTGCCCAGATGTGTATTCTGACTAATTGATGAAAAGTCCATGTGGGACTCTTAAACCATGTCTCATCTGTAAAATAATACAGACTGTGTGAATGAAAGCATCTCACCAACAAGAAGCTTCATGAGAATTTTTGATTATGGAGATGTCCGAAATTCACAGGTGTAGTTTCACCTTAGCCACCTTCGTGTTCTCGATCATTATGGAGGCGTTGCCATTCTTCAGTTCTCCAAAAAAATGCAGAGAACGCCCTTTGAACTGGTCCAGATTGACCTGTTAGACCTGACTGAAGAAAGGCGCCAGCATCAAATACACATACACCTCCTTTCTGACCGTCTTTCTATCCAGTCAAAGCGCGTAGACTCAATGTTTCCCATTGTGATGGAACAGGGTAAAGTCACATCACTCCCCTTCTGTCACTTTGATGATCTCTGGTCCTGGAAGATAAAAAACATGTATTAATCAGTATGTTTACCTGCAGGGTAATTAAGTGAAGAACAGACATGGTCTGTTGTATAAAACAAAAACATAAACTGATGATAAAAAACAAGAAAGTTAGATTGTTCCTCAAAAAATCCCTCTGAACTGTCAGACTGTATATTTTTACACCCTTGTTCCTTTTCTTTTCTTTCTTTCTGTTCTTTCAACATGTTTATTTATCATTTTCTATCTGGAGTTTTTATCTTTTATACTTTTTGAACAACATTTAAAAAAAGAAAGAAACATCTGTCTTTTATCTGTAAATAAAACTAGAGCTTTTATTTTGACATTGTTCCTCAGCCTCCTGGTATTAACACATTTTAATGACAAAGACGTGTTGAACAAGAAGAGGGAGAAAAACAGACTAAAGAAGAAAAAGCTCCTTCATCCTGAAGGTGTTAGAAAGAGCATTTCTGAAGGAGAAATTGTGCATGTTTGAGACTTGAATAAACAGGTTTACATCCACAGATGTCCGTCATCATCAGAGTTTCTGTCCACTGGCTCCACCGAGGGGACTCATCCTTTCATTACAATGTTTTTAATTTACTGGATTCTGGAAAAGCTTCTGACTGAAAACCTGAGTCTTTTTTTAACCAACATATTATAAATCCTCACAATCACCATCTTTTATTTTGGTTCACATTGTG